CCTGCCCACAATGCCAAGTAGCCGCTCTGGTCAGTGCTTTGAACTCCACTGCCCTTCAGCCAGTCAACAACAATCCCCCCCTCCCCCTTGCAAGCCCCGGGAACTTTAAATTCCCTTTCCTGCTGGCTGCCTCAGCGCGCAACGTCCTCATGGCTTCCCAGGTGAGCATGGCTGGCTATTGCTCCAAACACCCTCCAGCTTGGACCACCACGGAGCTTTTTGACCTACTCATGGTCATGGGGAGAGGAGTCTGTGCAGTCCCAGCTGCGAGTGCCCTCTAGGAATTGGGACACACATGGGCCCATTTTATGGACCTTGTGTGAAAAGGGCTCTGAGGGGGACACATTTTCACTCTCTGGGAATCCTCAGTTTCCCCTGCACTCCACCCCCTCTCACAGGTTTGACCATGATAGCTGGACCTACACACAGCTGTGATTTTTTTTTTTTAAGACATAAGACGGTCCCTTACCAGCAAACAATGGGTGCGTTAGTGTGTTTCACTGTAATTTGTGGTGTTCAGTAAAGGCAAACTTTTTTAATGGTACAACTATTTTATTTTCTGTTCCACAAACCACAGTTATCATGTCAGTCCCTGGTACAGGCTGTTCAAGCATTTGCTCCAGAAATACGTGTTACGTGGGATGTTAAATGGGAAGCATCAGGGAAGCAACTGCAAACGGTACACTTCAGTGCCCCTCATTGCCAAAGCGCTTCCTCAAAGCCTCCCTCATGTTAAAAGCAGCCCTCTGTGCTCCTCTGACAGCCCAAGTGTCTGGCTGCTGAAACTCTCCAGCCACCCCTGAACATTTCACCCTGAGATTCACAGAGTTTATGCAAAGTGCAGCCCGTGGCTATGACCATGGGAATAGTCTCCTCGATAAGGTCTAGCCTGCCAAAAAGACACATCCATCTCCCCTTCAATCAGCCAAAGGCACAGTCCACCACGACGTGGCACCGGCTCAGCCTGTTGTTAAAACGCTCCTTACTGCTGTCCAGCTGCCCTGTGTAAAGTTTCATGAGCCAGGGCTGTAAGGGGTAAGCCAGGTCTCCCAGGATTACTATGGGCATTTCCACATCCCCCACTGTGATTTTGTGGTCTGGAAAGAAGGTCGCCGCCTGCAGGTTTCTGTACGGGCCACTGTTCCTGAACATGCGGGTGTCATGCACCTTTCTAGACCACCCCACATTTCTGTCTGTGAAACGCCCCCGGTGATCCACAAGTGTCTGACGCACTATCGAGAAATATCCCTTCCTGTTCATGTACTCTGTGGCAAGGTGGTCTGGTGCTCTAAATGGAATATATGGGCCATCTATTGCCCCCCACCCCGCAGTTAGGAAAGCCCATCTCTGCAGAACCATCCAGTATGTCATGCACATTTCCCAGAGTCACGGTCCTTGGCAGCAGGATGTGATTTATTGCCCTGCACACTTGCAATAATACAGCCCCAACAGTAGACTTCCCCACTCCAAATTGATTTGCAGCTGACTGGTAGCAATCAGGAGTTGTGAGCTTCCACACAGCGATTGCAACATGCTTCTCTAAGGAGAGGGCAGCTCTCATTCTGGTGTCCTTGCGCCACAGTTTGGGGGCCAGCTCAGCACAGAGCTCCAGGAAGGTTGTTTTACACATCCTGAAGTTCTGTAGCCACTGCTCTTCATCCCACACCTGCATGACAATGTGATCCCACCAATCAGTGCTGGTTCCCCTAGCCCAAAAGCAACGGTCTACCCTGCACAGCTGCTCTGTGAGTGCCAAAGGCAATGCCAGGTTGCTGCTGTCCATCTCTCCCGGAAAGTTGTCTGCCTGCAACTCTTCTTCCTCTGTCAGTAACGTGTGGAGTCACTCTGCTGTGCGTCATGTCCTGATGTCAGTGAATACAGCAGAGGAGAGAAGTGCAGGATCCATGCTTTCTCACTGCTCTGCAGATGCTGAAGTGCACAGCAAAGAATGGCAGCTGGCAAATTGGTGCGAAAGGAAGCTGGAAACCCCTGGAGGGCTGGGAAACAAAGCAGCGGCTGACGGGACGTTATGCATGGTCCCAATACGCTCCACGGTCCGTTCCGCATTCCCACAACACCTAGTGATGGATGCTGCTGCCAGGCACTGTGGGATACATAACCACAGTGCATTGCTCCCGCGGTCGATGAGTGAGCTAAAAATGTGGACACGATGTGTCGCCAGACTGAGCAAGTGGAGACACACTTTGGCGACTTTTCTTTTTGTGACTTCTGCGTGTCAACAGTACCTTCGGCGACAAAACTTCATAGTGTAGACATACCCTGAGTCTGGTCTTGGTTGTGTGGCAAATAATGGGAGATGGCGGCCATTGCTGTGAAGATTAGCCTGGCTGTGTGAAAATGGTGGCTAGCTGAACTAAGGGCCATCAGTGGCCTGATCCTTACAGGGAAACACCTTGGGAAAGTTCTTATTTTAAAAGGGGGCCCACCCCCCGGTTTGTTGTTTGGGGGTTCTTTTTTTTGGTGGGGGGGGGGGGGGGGGGGGGGGGGGGGGGGAGGGGGGGGGGGGGTGGTGGGGGGGGGGCCCACAAAAGAGAGGGGGGGGTGGGGGGGGGGCCCCCCCCCCCCCCCCCCCCCCCGGAGGGGGGGGTGTTGTTGTGGGGGGGGGGGGGGGGGGGGGGGGCCTGGGGGGGGTGCAAAAATAATAAAAACAAAAGAGGGGGGGGGGGGGGGGCCCCCCCCCCCCCCCCCCCCCCCCCCCCCACCACACCCCCCAGAGCACGGGGGGGGGCGGCGGGGGGGGGGGGGGGGGGGATCCTCGGATATTTTTGGTGTTTTTTTTGTGGTGGTGGTGGGGGCATACAAGAACAAGCAGCAGTGAGGTGATCCTTGAAGGTTGTGAGCTCTCTATAGTGGGGGGTCTTTAGTGTACAAAGACCCAACAGATGGAGCGTGGGCCCCCTGTGGGTTTGGCTTCCCTCCTGAAAGGAGCTGGGAGGGTGTAGGACCCAGCAGCATAAGTGGGAACCCCATTTCTCAGGGGAGGGAGGGCCCAGTAGCAAGGGGAGGACCCAGTGGTCTACCTGCAATGGGGTCTTGGTGAGATTTCAGAGAGAGGCTGCTGCTGACCCTCAGATGTGTTTCAGGGTTTCATGTTATCCAGACAATATACGGCTGTGATCTCCGGGAAGACAACACCACTTGGGGGTTTTACCAGGATTCATATGACGGACGCGACTTTCTTACCTTCGATAAGGAGACCGTGACTTGGGTAGCAGCAGATATTGGGGCTCAGATCTCCAAGAGGCGATGGGATGCTGAAGTACTTGACAACCAGCGGTGGAAACGCTACCTGGAGGAGGAATGTATTCCCTGGCTAAGGAGTTCTCTAGAGTACGGGAAGGAGACTCTGCAGAGGAAAGGTAAGATGGGGGACAAGCCCCACCCAGGAGGTCACTACAAGTTACATCTCCATTCCCCATCCCCAGTTCCAAAATGGGGTAGGGGGCCATTCAGCTAACCTTGCACCAGGGATGGGTGGGGAAAGAACCCCTTCCCCGCCAACGCTGCTGGAAAAAAAGATAAGAAACTGAAAATGTTAAAAGCAGCTCACTGTAGAGAAGCTGATCAAATGAGCCCAAATTTGCAGCACACATTCTAGCTCTTCCCCTGGTGTGACACAGTAGTTATCAAGGCAATCTGCCAATGTGTGTGCATGTTAGAGCACTTTACTTAATTATGGAAGAGCCACCGCTTCTCTGGACACCAGCTTCATTCACCATGTAATTCTTCCTCATTCACTGTCTGCACCATCATATTTTCTTATGTTACCCCCAGCCCCTCTGTTCCACCATTGACGGTAGCTTTGTTCTTGTTGCCTTTGTCCAAACTTCTCCCACAGTCATTTATGTGCTTTCTTCCATGCCATCCCCTACATGTGGAATTGCCCTCCCCATACTAATCTGGAAGAAGGCACCCCTTGACCTTAAAGTTTTCCCCCTCAAGACCTACCTTTGCTGCAACACCCTCTTACTTATTCCTTGATTCTTTTATCAATAAGACATCTGATAATCACACTCAAATTTATCAGAGCTTTTTCAGTAAAGATTAATCAGCACAAACATAGAAGGGAAGAGGTTAAATGCTTTACCACTCCGACTCAGGAGGACAGTTGCAGCGTAGTCTGCTTCAAAATGTTAACTCGCTATTACCCACATATGTACCTTGTGTGTTACCATGTACACACATTTCCCAGATTAGTTAGCATCATTACACACCCTAATCTTTCCCTTCCCAAACAGTTTGCACTTGCTGTTCAAAGTTACTTGAAATTTGTACCCAGTTTTTTGCAACATACTAGTTACTTATTTCTCTCAGGAACCTCAGCAGAACTTTATCTTGTCAATTGCCATCTTTACAAATGCCAAGAAGTAAAAGCCATACACAGCAGTCTAATGTATATTTCAGTGCCAACGGGCTGGGAAACTGATTTTTCAACATAAGAGTAAATGCATTTGAAATCCATAATATTGGGGTAAATAGATTTGGTAACAACCTACAAGAAATTAGCCAATTAATATTAGTTAATTTGAGGGGCAATTTAGCACTGTCACTTTTTGTTTAATGGGCCCTTTCCATCTTTAATTGGTCATTTTATCTAGTTCATTTTTTTGCTCCCTGGCCAGGGCAAGATTCTTCTCTCTTTCATATCCAGGGACTGAGAGGAGATGGGCACAAACCTAGCACATGATTGACACCTGTATCTGGAGCTTAGTGAAGCCTTTCAAGGTACTTGTGTCACTGTGGTTGGGAGCAGAGGCCAGGTCAGGGACCTGGATTGGGGGTTCACCGTTGCTGATGCTGTGAATTGGGCACAGGAATTCTCTAACATGGTGGTTCTCTCTCATCAGAGGGATTCCGTCTCATGGACTTTCGTCCTCTCCCACTCCTGGGGTCTCAGAATTTCATGCTGCAAAGCTCCAGCAAAGGCTGCCTGGATTAGAGCTTGAAAATAACTAACTTCAGTTTCTTCTTTTTCCCAGTGCGCCCAACAGCTAGAGTGAGCGACAGGTCATCTCATGATGGCCTCACCACCCTCTCCTGTAAGGTCAGTGGGTTCTACCCCCGGGACATCACCGTGACCTGGCTGAGAAATGGGGAGAGCAGACAGCAAGAGACCTACTCTGAAGGCATCCTACCCAGTGGGGACGGGACCTACCAGACCTGGGTGACAATGGAGATTGATCCCAAGATCAAAGGCCATTATTCATGTCACGTGGAGCATGAAAGCCTGTTAGAGCCACTCTCCGTCTCCTGGGGTAAGGCATTTGTGTGTGTGTCTCTTTTTTCCTTGTGGGAGAGGGGGAATCCGTTAAACTCAACCCCTGAAAAATTCTCATTTGGATTTCTAGGCTGAAGCTGGAATTTCCTCAGGGTCTGTGAGGCCCTGTCCCCTTTGGCCCTGTCCCTCTGCATCAAGTTCTTGTGCTAGAGTTGGGACCCACAGTGCCTGGGGCTCATGTCTTGCTCTCCAGTTTGCTGCCTCTGGGGCTGTTCGATACATCTCAGCAATACACTGTCTCTGAAGGGAGAAGATTAGTAATCGGACATTAAGGCCTGAAGGGACCATTCTAATCATCTGATCTGAGCTCCTGCATAGCCCAGGGCAGGGGGGAATCACACCAGGGACCCCAGCATCCAGTCTGGTCATCTGTGAGCAAACTAGAGCTCATCCTTCAGAAAGAGATGCCCATTCCAGATGTAAAGTCTCCAAGGGATGGAGAATTTACCACATCCCAGGGGAAGCTCAAATCTGCCCCTTATTTCCAGACAGAATTGGTCTTGCTTCAGCTTGCAGCCCGGTGTCAGAGAAAAACACAGTTCTCACTCTCAGGGGGCAGCAGGCTTCCGCCCCCCATTCTCAAGAAATTCTAATACAAGTCACAATTAATTCTTTCTTTATTTTAAATTTGTTATTAAAAATTCATTCAGAGAAATAAACATGGTCTAATTCATGCATTGTGTCCTGCCATGAGAGGACTAGATGACCTCTCGAGGTCCCTTCCGGTCCTCTGATTCAGCAGGTTCTCAGAAACACGGCTCTACGGGCCCTTCATTCTTGCCCATGTGGCCAGAGAGAGAGGTTTAATGTTGGGAGCAGCTTGTTTCTGTGCGCAGTGATGCTGGAAGGGAGGTATGGCCTTGGAATGGAGCGAGGAGGCAGATTAGAGCCCTGCATCACGGGGGAGAGACTCCTATGCCCCTAGCACAAGAAAGTCTAGGAATAATTTATTACAGATGGAGCTGCCTTCCAGCCATCTTTTTGCTTGGTTAAATGGGATGTGGAAAAATGCAGCATTTGGAAGTGCAAACGATTTCTGAGAGGGCAATGTGCACCGGGACTCTCGTCAGCAGACGGTTTCACATCACGATCCTGCTCCCACGTCCCCTGCCAATTTTTGTGTCATAACCCACATTTCCTTATTCTCTTCGAAATATTTTTCTTTTTGCTGTTTTATTATGTGGATCTTTCAGACAACAGGAGAAGCTGATTAATGAAACTGAAAGTGTGTACAGAACGTGGGGTTTAACAGGTTTATATAAACCAAAAACAGTATTAAAATATTTCTATCCTCCCCTCTTCACTTCCTGCCCCCTCAAAAAACATGCATTGTGTCTGTAACTCCATTCCTGGCAGGGAAATCCAGAGCTTTGAGGTCAGTTTCCAGTTTGGCACCAGATTCCCACAGTGGGACTGTTCCATTAGTCATGAAAGTCAGCGTTGTCAAGGGGGGTTAGGGGCTGGGAGCCAGGACTCCTGGGTTCTGTCTCTGGAAGGGGAGTTGGGGTTAGGGGGGTTAGAGCAGGAGGGGCTGAGAGCCAGGATTCCTGGGGTCGATTCCTGGCTCTTGCACTGCCTCACTGTGTGATCTTCAGCAAGTCTCCCCCCTTTCCCGTGTAGGGACGATACTGACATCCATGCTCTCCCACAGTTCTGAGGATTGGTTAATGTTATAAAAGTCTTCGAGTTTAAGTGCTAAATATTTATTATGACTGGAAGTGGTAGAGACTGTATCCAGGACTTCCTATGGTGGGGTGCAATGCATGGTGGTTGCACTGGAAGGGGTGGAGGGTTGCAGGACTCAGCCCTAACTTGGGGAGCTGACTGACGGATCCCTGCAGTGGGATGAAAGGGGGATTTTAGTGGTGCGGGGGAAGGAGATTTTTCCCCATTGATCATTCTTTCCATTCCATTTCAGAACCAAATAACAATCTGATTCCCACTGTGGCTGGAGTTATCACTGCAGCTGTCCTGATTGGTGTTATAATCGGAGTAGTCGTCTGGAAAAAGAAACGCCCAGGTAAAGAGCCTGGGATGGGGGGATTCTCTGGACTTGCCGGGCCCTGCACACCCGCCTAAGGGCAACAGCAGTTCAGGAGCCTGTGTCAGTCCGGTGTAACTGCCCCATTGCGGGACTGAGCTAATGACCCCCAATGGGAGCTGCTGGAGGGCCAGACCCAGAAACTGGGTGTGGGTTACAGTTTATATGGGGCTAGGTTTTCCATAGAGCTCAGCACCCAGTGCACCGAGGTCTGTGGAAACTGTCTCATTGTGTCTTTCTCTCCTGCCAATTGTGAGCGCCTGGGACCTTGAGTCCATTACTGAGCACCAGGGGGCTGTGCTGGGCCAGGGGCCCGGTTTCTGAGCTGTGGACACAGATCAGAGTCGGTTCCTGCCTTGGGAGCTGCGTTCACTGAAATTTGCCTTCTCTCTGCAGGGAAGAAGGGAGATGGCTATGCTGTAGCTCAGGGTAAGTGACAAGAGACCCATCGCCTCTTTTCAAGTGGCTATCTCTGAACGGCCATCAGTATTTGCTTGTGGATTTTAGCCTGGAAGCACTGACAGGAGATCCTCGCTCCCACTCATAGGCCTTGTCTACACTGAGGATTTTAGGGAAATCTCCAACTATTGCTCTAGTACCATAGAATCGTAGGACTGGAAGGGACCTTGAGAGGACACCTCGTCCTGTTCCCTGCACTCATGGCAGGACTAGGTATTATCTAGACCATCCCTGAGTAACCTGCTCTTAAAACCCTCCAATGAGGGAGATTCCACAACCTCTCTAGGCAATTTATTCCAGTGCTTAACCACCTCTTCCAGTCCTCTCTCCCATCTTTCATGACTTTTCAGAGCTATTGACTCAGATATCTCCTCTCTCAGTTCCTTGACTATTCTAGGATGCTCTTCATCAGGCCTTGGTGACTTGAAGACCTCTAACTTGTCTAAATAATTTTTAACTTGTTCTTTCCCTATTTTAGCCTCAGATTCTACCTCAATTTCACTGGTGTTCACTATGTCAGACATCCAATCGCTATGACACGTTTGGGTGAAAACTGAAACAAAAAAATCATTTAGCCCTTTTCCCATTTTCACATGTTCTGTTTATTGTCTTTCCTTCCTCATTGACTAATGGGCCTACCCTGTCCTTAGTCTTCCTCTTGCTTCTAATGTATTTGTAGAATGTTTTCTTGTTACCTTTTATGTCTCTAGCTAGTTTGATCTCATTATGCACCTTGGCCTTTCTAATTTTGCCTCTACATACTTGTGTTATTTGTTTACAGTTTTTCTTTGTAGTTTGATCTAGCTTCCACTTTGTGTCGGACTCTCTTTTGATTTTTAGATCATTGAAGATCTCCTGGTTAAGCCAGCGTGGTCTCTTGCCATCCTTCATTTCTTTCCTGTGCAGTGGAATAATTTGCACTTGTGCTCTTGATAATGTCTCCTTGAGAACTTTTCAACTCTCCTGAACTGTTTTTCCCCTTAGACTTGCTTCCCATGGGATCTTACCTTAGCAAACTCAGGGAGTTGCTAAAGTCTGCCTTCTTGAAATCCATTATTTTATTGTCAGGTTTCAGAGGAACAGCCGTGTTAGTCTGTATTCTAAAAAAAAAAAGAAGATTTTTTGTTCTTTTAAAAAAAAAAAATTTTTTTTTATTTTTTGTTTTTTTTCCCTCCTACCATTCTTTAGAATCATGAATTCTGTCATTTCATGATCACATTCACCCAAGCTTCCTTCCACTTTCAAATTCTCAACCAGTTCCTCACTATTTGTCAAAGCCAAATCTAGAACAGCCTCTCCCCTAATAGCTTTCTCCACATTCTGAAAGAAAAATTGTCTCCAATACATTCCAAGAACTTGTTGGATAATCTGTGCCCTGCTGTGTTGTTTTCCCAGCAGAGGTCTTCTTCAGTAGTGTAGAGTGGCTGTAGACACATGTTCTCTAACCTTGCTCCGAGGAAGTCCTAGATGATACAAGGGTTAAAAACACCTGAACCCCATCTCCTCAATTGCTCCACCCCTGCTCTCTCTGGTGGAACTGCATGGCTTGCGGGCATGGGTCCCAATTTTAGTAGTGTAGACAAGGCGATAGTCAGGAATGTATATGGTGGTTTTGGGCTGAATTATTATCCCCCTAGAGCTGTGCTGTGTGTGGCTGAGTGTGACCCTGAAGGTGTCTGACCTGCTTTTAATGTTACACTTCTTTTGACTTACCTGAAAGTTGGTTTGGTGCTTGTGAAATCTGGGCCTGATCCAAAGCCTGTTGAAGCCAATGGGAGTCTTTCCACTGACTTCAGATCAGCACCACTCTGTCGCCTCGATGACAACAAGTTCAAATCCCGTCCTCAATTGTCTCCTGTAATTAGCTTTACCAACAGGATCAAGACTAAAACTATGGGAAATATTTACATCAATTATCGACTGCATCTGAGGCCCTCTAAAGTCTGGTATGAAGAGCCAGTATAAAGTGCACAGATCTGCCGGGCCCTGCTAGGGGGTAGTCATCCAGCTCTCTCTTTACCCTCTCCGGGGTGCCTCCAGCAGGTAACGGAGGGGGTTTGAGAAGTGCCAACAAAACCTCCGCAGAGCACCACCCTTCCTCCTGCAGCTGGCCCTCAGTCATTCCTCCCTCCCTCCTCCTCGTTACTCCAGAAGAACAGAAATTCACATGCAAGAGCTTTGTTAATGGGGAGTTAAGGTGGCAGGTGCTCAGCCCTGCCCTGGGCTCCCTGTGTCCTTTCAGAATGGGAGTGTTTAATTCCCAGAAGTCAAAGGTTGGCAAACCAGGATATGCAGAGGTATTATGGCCAAATTCACAGCCATAAAAAACGCATCACGGACCATGAAATCTATACAGATTTCACAGGGGAGAACAGCATTTCTCTAACTGGGGGTCCAGACCCAGAAGAGGGTTGTGGGGGGAGGAGGGGGTTTACAAGGTTATTGGAGGGGATCACAGAATTGCCACCCTTACTTTTGTGCTGCCTTCAGAGCTGGGGAGCCAGAGAACGGTGTCTGCTGGCCAGGCACCCAGCCCTGAAGGCAGTGCCCCCCCAGCAGCACCCTAGACGTAAGGGTGGCAATGCTGTGACCCATCGACAATAACCTTGCTGCCCCCCCAGCCGCTTTTTGGGTCAGGACCCTACAGGTACAACACTGTGAAATTTCAGATTTAAATAGCTGAAATGATGAAAATGACAATTTTTTACATCCTGTGACTGACATTGACCAAAACAGACCGTGAATTTGGTACGGTCTTAATTATGATGCGTCCCACGCAACTCAAACTCTGCCCCAGTGGGTCTGGGAATAGGAACAAGGAATAGACCAGCACCATGCCAAACCAAACTTGCCCTTGTCTGTGTGCCCAGCACCGCCCCAAATCTGCATTCCTCTTCATACCGTCCACACTGTTTGGTGCAGCGCCATTGATTAAGGCGGGAATTGCTGTTCATTGGCAGGGGGAGGGTGACGTCTGTGGTCTGCGTGAGGGACCCCTCTGGGCACAGCCCAAAGGAGGCAGAGTTGAGGTTGTTTGGCAGGAGTATCCTTAGCCCAGCATCTCCTGCTTTGCCAGCCGTTGAATGTTGAGTAGTCTGGGCTCCCGTTCTGACGAGGCATGAAGAGCACAGAGCAGTGCTGTCCCCCTGCAGTGGTGACGTTTTTCGCACGTGAATAATGGAAATCCTGGGCAGCTGCCCTGTAGACTGATCTGTGCACCACCCAGCTCACTGCTCGGGAAGAGTGAGGTGATGACTGTTCCCTTTGGATAGGAGTCCCCGTATCTAACAACTACGCTGAAACCCTGTCCTGTGAGAGACGCTAATATACTCTCTCTTCTCCGCCTCCTCTGCACAGCAAACGACCAAGGATCTAGTGGCTCTGACCTATCTGCCAAGGGTAAGTGAGGGGGGCTCTAGCCTAGGGGTTCACTGCTCTCACTGAGGCCTCTGGAGAGAGAGACCCAGTCCAAGTCATTGGACCCTGAGTCTCCCTGGCCCGTCCCCTCTAGCAAACCAGCCCCAAGGAGCAGAACAGGGGAGTTTGGGATCTCTTATTTCCCTTTTATTCACACTGGGGGTGCAGGAACAGGTTTGCAGCCAAATCCCCCTTGTTTTCTCTGCGATGACTTTAGGTGTGAAAGACGCTAGTGAGAGGGATTTCTCTGTGGCTGCTGGTACAGCGTGGGCTGAGCTCAGCTTTTGCAAGGATAACTCCAGCTGCTTCAGAGAACAGTCTCCAGTGAACTGCAGGGAGGAAGCAGCAGGGACAGAGCCCAGCCCTTGGGGCTCCAGGAACCCAGGTCTCTGACCCTGGAGCTACAAGCTTTGTCAGCGGGGCTAGAGATTTTGTCCACTGAACCCTGCAGCCACTAGGGCGACCGCCCCGACCGCAGCCTGCACTGTCATTGCAAAACATGATGGCAGGTTCCCTTTGACAGACGTTGCCTGTGTTTAACTTCTGCAGCTTAACTGAGCCTGGTGGAGTCCGTGCCACGGCCTGAGGGGACCCCCGAGAGAAAGACGGATGAGCTCTGCTCTGTCTCCCTACAAGAACCAGTCAACCCCTCCCTAGCTTTTCTCTGGCAATTGGAGGGTCCCGTGTGGGATTTCTGGCCTCGTCTCTCTGCTCACTGAACCATGTTTTGCTTTTCAGGTGTCATAGTTTTCTGTAATAATGTTTTATTTGCACAAAATAATTTCCAACATTTTAATGGATAAAATCTCTGTTAGAGTTCAGTGTTTGCCCCATTCAGTGTGGGCACGCCGTCCTCTGGCTGCGCGGTGCGGTGAGCTAGGTCTGTCAGCAGTAACTGCTTGTGCATCTGTGGTGGGGACGGCTTTTTTTTCTGTCGAATTTCATGATTATAACACGGTAAATGGCCGGGTCTACTCGCAGCTGGTCGCGCTGTTGCCATCATCAGCTGAGGACGTCTGTTGGACAGGAATAAGTGTCTGCGTTTAGTTTGTAAGTGCCTCTAATGTCCTTTTCACCATTCATAGAGCCATAGAAATGCTGGGCTAGAAGGGCCCTCAATAGATCATCAAGTCCAGCCCCGATCTCAGGCAGCACCAAGTTAACCTAGACCATCCCTGACAGGTGTTTGTCCAACCTGTCCTTAAAAACCTCCAACGACGGGGATTCCACATCCTCTCTAGGCAACCTGTGTGACGAAGTGGGGTATTTTCCTAACGTTGCGTATGTATACTGTGTGCCTCAGTTTCCCCCGTGTGCTGCATGTCTAACCCAGGTGGGAGGTGGGGTGTCTGCTGTTGTAGAGGACCAAGTGTGACCCAGTCTAGCAGCCTGGACCCCAGACCATGGCCTGGGCACTTTGTAACTTAGCGACTGATGACCTGAAGGCCCATCCCAACTTGGAGCCAGCCAGTTATGGGCAGCGGAGAGAACAAAGAGCTGAAGAGAGAGTCACCTGGAGACCTGTTTGCCCGGGAAAGAAGACAGATGGAAGTGGGGCCTTGGAGGTGATATGGGGTGGGCCGCAGAAAGGAGGATTCACTTCTGGTCTGGGAACAAAGAGCGGCCTGAGCCCACCTGGATGGGGACAGACCCTGATGAACGCCCCTGAGAAGGTCTTGTAATCTGCTCCAGACGTACAATAAACCCTTCTGTGCTGCGCTGGCTGAGAATCGCTGCAGGCTCAAGAGAGGCAGGCATGCTGGAGGCTCAGACGGGCGGTACTGGGAGGCGGAGGAGAAGCCTACAGCTTAAACCCTGAGCAAAGAGTGTGACCTCATGTAGGCTCAATACTCTGAAAGGCCGGTTCATACGGAGCCAAGAGGGCACTGGCCTGTGAGTCTGTGACAACCTGTCCCACACTGAACTGTCCTTAGAGCTAGAGAGTTTTCCTAATGTCTAACCTAAATCCCCCGTCTCCTACTGTCAGTGCACCTGGAGAACACTTGATCACCGTCCTCTTCAGAGCAGCCCTTAATGCCGGGGTAGATAATTATTTTTTGTCAAGGTCCAAATTTCTTGGTCAAGATATAGCCACGGTCCAGACTCAAGAGAAATATTTCTCACACCACAACTGCCCCTGTTCAACGAACACCTGCAGTGCTGTGAAATGTGCCCAGGGCCTATATTGTTTATATTCTTAGTGCCTTAAATGAAAAATAAAATCAAGCCATGGTATAGCCTAAAAATAACCTCCAAGAAAGATAACAAGGAGTCTGGTGGCACCTTAAAGACTAACCGATTTGTTTGGGCATAAGCTTTCATGGGCCCACGAAAGCTTATGCCCAAATAAATCGGTTAGTCTTCTTGGAGACCCCAGGGCATGGCCACTAGTTAAGTCGAGGGGATGGAAGGCAATAAGGGTCGAGGAAGTCTCCCTGCTGAAGGCCGAAGGGCTTCTTCTCAACCCCCCTTAATAGAATTCAGGCCTGGCTGGTTTGAGTAAGCTCTTTTGCTCTTAAAACAATGTTGCAGCCGCAGATAATGCCTCAGAGTGTAAGGTTTGCTGACGCCAAGTTAAAGATAATAGGAGAGAGAACTACAAGGCCAGGCAGGACGTGCTGGTTGTTTAAGTTGCTAGGAATGCTTGTTAGCGGTTGCAGGAAGTAAACATTGTTGTAACCCAGATAAGGAAGGCAGAGTATTTGTGTAAAGTTTTAATTGGCTGATGTGTAGTGCAGTAGCATTAAGGAATATAAAAGTGTGTGTAATGACCTGCTCTGGGTGCAGGATTTGAGATTCTATTCTCCCTACACTTTGTTTGCAGCTGCAAATAAACTTTTCTGCTTCTCCACCCCGTTGTGATTATTGAGTGACGCACACCGGGTAACGAACCCCTGCTGTTGTTTGGCCTCTGGGCACTGGGTGCTGGCAACAGTCTTTAAGGTGCCATCGGACTCCTCGTTGTTTTTGGGGATACAGGCTAACACGGCTCCCCCCGATACTTGTCTCCAAGAAAGATGTAATTTATCTGAACCGTTGAGAAAGTGTTTAGAAAAATGTCAAATAGATGCAACTATTAGCATTAAAAATACTTTCAGGCAACAGGTTTAAGTTTTGTGTGAGTTTTGTCAAATACGGTTATTGTAGGCGTATCTGCACAGAGAGAGAGAAACAGATTCAAAACTTTTTCAGCCGTTTGTGGTTTATTTACCATCAGTATCAGAGTTTGAAAGAAACACTTAGTACACCTGAACTCTTCATCATTTATGATTCAAGCCTTTCCACTAACAAACTCCCACCCACCACCACTCCCAGATCCTTCTCAGCACCGCTGCTGCCGAGCCAGTTTGCCTCATTCTGTATTTGTGCATCTGGTTTTCCTTCCCTACGTGGCGCACCTCACATTGGTCTTTGTTGAATTTCATTTTGTCGTCTGTTGCCCAGTTCTCCAGTTTATCCAAGTCCCTCTGAATTTTAGCTCTATCCTCCAAAGTGCTGGCAACCTCCTTCCCCCCACCCCGCAGCTTTGTGTCATCTGCAGCATTGATCAGTCTGCTCTCTGTACCTACATCCAGGTCATTAATAACGATGTTAAACGCTGGAGCCAGAACAGATCCCTGGGGAACCCCACTTAAGACCACCTCTTTTGCCCTCACAGTTTACAGCTCTCTCCTCCCCCTCGGGGTGCAGTGACCCTCTACGGGTTAACAGGACCTTTTTCCAGTGAAAGAGCCTTTATCACACTGTGAATATTCTGAAACATGTACATGTATTTGTTAGCAATCAGCAGCTGATCAGCAGAATGCACTCACCGAGCATCTAATGCTCACCACTCCCAATAAAGCAGACAGACCTCTCCTAATGGCCAGTCAGCGTTGTGTCATCTGGGGCTCTGGCTTCTCCACAGTCTGGTCATGCAAGGGATAAAAATCCTAGCTGTTCCGGCCTTGAGCCGAATCCCCGAGTTACGTTCCAATGAGCTTGTTTTCTCACCCTCCGGATCGAGTTAAAATGAGAGTTCTTCTTACAATACCTTCTTCGCCAAGTGTTTTACTCAAAGCATGACTAGACGTCTCACCAGTCATAACCCCTCACGGGCTAAAGCAATTTCTCGAGCAACAGCAAAAGCAACTTATCAGCAGAAGCAACTTTTAACTTAAACTCCCACGGGCGCCCAGTCAGAGCCTTGCAGACACGCCAGGGCAGCGGGTCCGTCCTCCCTCCCGGTCCAGTCGCTCTGTGACGTTCCTGGGTCTGTCCCGGGGAGTGATGCTGCAGCTGCCCCGGCATTCCTTGTCCCTGCGCTCAGGAGCACAGCAGGGCAGCTGCCTTGTTCCTTCCCCCGTCGTGGGGCTGCCTGGACCCACCGCAGGCTGGGGAGGGCGGCAGGTGAGAGGCACAGATGGCCTGGAGACCCCTCTCTGACCAGCCTCCACAGACTGGGCCAAGCCCCTCTGCCTGTCCCATGCAGCCTGCAGGGCTTGCTGGGTTTAACTCTCACCTCCGGGGTGAGACTGGATCGTACCACAGTGTAACGGGGACGTGCTGGTGGCTCCTCCCTGGGGAATTTGGGTGCTTGGTGCCCAGGGTTCATCTCTCCTGGTGGCAGAGAGCACAGGAGCAGCCAGTGCAAACTTTATAGCCTTCCCCTCTGCTCATGGGTGGCTGGGCTTAAAGATGCCTCTGAACCAGGCACCTTCACCCAAAAGGGAGCTGATTCCTGGCCCATCGCAGGGCGTGAACTGGCATCAAACAGCTCACTCTGGGCAGGGCCTTGTACCCTTCCCTACCCCTATTTCTCCAGAGTTGAAAGGTCAAAAATCCCCCTCAAATCTTCCTTTAAGAGATGAATAGCGTCTGAGCTGCGTGGACAGCGATTTGCACTAGTTGGTGTGGGGATGGGGGGGCCTGGTGTTGGTTGGGGAGCTCCCTGTCCATCTCCCCCACCCCGGAGCCCGCTCCAGGCTCATCCATACCCCCCTGCGGTCTCCCAGGAGCTGGGGCTGCCTCCTCTCAGCTCTTGCAGCTGCTGTGATCCGGTGTAGCTTCACTCTGTTGTGGCCGTGAGGACGACTGTGCCGGTGTCAGGCAGCCAGGGGCTCTGGGTGAGGGAGCGGCTGACAGGGGATGTTTGATCTAGAACAGGAGTTCTCCAACTTCACTGCACCATGACCCCTTTCTGACAACAAAAACTATGACATGTCCCCAGGAGGGGGAGCTGAAGTCCAAGCCTGCCTGAGCCCCACTGCTCTGGGTCCCCACTGCTTCAGCCCCAGGCAGGGGTCCTGTAACCTGAGTCCATTCACCGAAGCCCTCAGGCATGTCTAAGCCAGCCTGGTGACCCCACTAAAATGGGTTCGCAGCCCACTTTGGGGTCCCAAACCACAGTTTGAGACCCATTGATCTAGAAAGTTAAAATGTTTTTACTGGTACCTAAGTAGCAGCTGCCCTTAATGATTTTATAAAAGAGAATGTTTTACATAGTCTGTTCTGATATGTCCGTAGTAGCCATTAAATACAAGAAACCATGTAAAAATAATCTTCTAAAATAACTAAATGAAATTTCAAAATTGTTATATTTTCTAAAATTATGATTTTTTTAATTCTCTCTAATTGGCAGTTTCAGAAATATTTGTTTTCATTCTGAATTGGATCAAAAGCAAATTTCAATATGTTAAAATTCCCCCTAAAATAGAAATTCCAGGATTTGACCAGCTCCCCCCATAATTCCTGCCTCCCAGCCCCCATTATAACACGGCTTTTGCCTTCATAATCACAGCCAATGCTGGTCAAACTGTAATGCAACTAAGACAGTTTAATAGCGCCTGACGAAGAAACCAGGGATAGTCTGTTCTGTGTTTGTACAGCGCCGAGCGCAGCGGGACCCTGGTTCATGCCCATGGCCAGGATGGTAAACGCAGGATAAAGGACAGTTCTGTGGGCAGAGAGATCTGGAGTGCGGGGAGGGGGGTGTGACGCGTCCTGGAGCCAGCAGAGGGCAGCAGCGACCTCCTGGCAGACCTGTCCTCCAGCTCCTGTCTCCGGGGTCCTGGGTCCTGGTTCTGTCCCCAGCCTGTGCTGGAAAATGCACAAAGAGCAGGACTGACCTGCCTCTCCCGCAGTGTGATCCTCACACAGAGACTCCAGCTCCGGCCCAACAGCACTCACAGGGCAGCTGAATTTTCTGGGGGAAAATTGGCTAAATATAGGGTTCACAACCAATCATTTCTTAAAATGTCCCCTCGTGTCTCACTTTCCTAATCTAGCCTTTCTCAAAGGCCAGGTGAGCTGATCAGAATGGGGCCTTCTGTCCTTAACAGCACAGGATCTGGGGAAAGGTGCAAAGTTGAAATGTTAGTAACCACTTAAAAGCGGCCAAGAGTCCTGTGGCACCTCGTAGTCTAACAGACGTCCTGGAGCATGAGCTTTCGTGGGCGAATACCCCCGTCGTCGGAGGCACGGAGTGGAAATTTCCAGAGGCGGGTGTAAATATGAAGCAAGAATCAGGCTAGGGATAACAAGGCTGCACTTGCGCAAGTCTCTTCATGAGGTTGATGGATTTCCACTCCATGCGGCTAAATGCAGGGCCTCGCAGGGTGACAAGTATCATACTTTAGCCGTAGGGAGTGGAACTCCAGAGTCCTTATTAGCCTCCTTCAAATCCCTCCAAGGTGTCTGCAAAAAACCTGACGATGGTGAGGGTGCTGGTGTCCTGTCATCACAGCTTATCGTGCTGACCAGTGTTGTCTCATTGCTTCCTTGGGCTCCTCTGTCTGTCTCCATCTAGTGTTTCTTGTATTCGTGTCACGCCCCCTCTCCACCCGGTCACCTTCTTTAACGCCAGTCTGCTTACAGGTTTTGATGGACAGGTCTGGGTTCTTCTGGGTCCCGCCACCCATCCAGCAGGGTGTATCTTCTTTGTGTTTCCCTGTGAATGTATTTGGCGATGCCTCCTCCACCCTCACTCCTTCCTGGCAGGGTCCCCAGAGCGGCTTGGGAGGAAAATGCCAACCCCAGGGTAACCCCCACTTACCTGCCAGAAAGTTGGAGACTCCCAAGAAATCACACAAATACATAGAATATACTCAACACAGTAATTATATAAACCGGAGACAAATATAACATAACAGGGTGAAACACTATTCTTCATGCCCATGCTGACAATACCCGTGACTTTCCCCAGTCACGTGACCTGATGTAGCCAATGTAAGATCAGTGTCCCGTTGGTACGTGTGCTTTGTTGGGGCCCTTGATGACCTATGCCCACGATATCTTCCCTGCAGTGGTTTAGCAGGGTGGCTGACTGGGCTCAGTACAGCCCAAAGGACTCACAAGTGGGAGGAGGTGGTCAGGCCCTCCACAGGTTTACTATGCAGCCGGTGATAAAATCCCGAAACCCATACTCTCTGTCCTGAGGACACAGTTCAGGGAGTAGGGGGTCCCCAAAACAAATTCCTGGACTGACGAACTAAAAGATGGTGCACTCACAAACTCCATGAATGATCCTCAGGTTCAGAAATGACTCTGGACCCCTTGGTCACAGCAGAGGGGCTGATCTCTGCTGGCAGGGAGCCTCTTCAGGCAGGAATCAGGTGGCTTTGTCCCGGGATTTCAACTCACCACACAGGGGTGCAGGGCTCAAGGTGCAGATTACAGAACTGGACTAAACTCCAAACTGTCGTCTCCTAGCCCAGCGTCCAGGCACACTCCCGGCAGGCCAGCCCTGGACTAGCAGCCAGAGCAGAGCTGGCCCTGTGGTGACTGGTCTCCCCTAGGGAGCTGGGGGCGAACTCAGCCTGGCTGGGGAAGTTTCCCAGCAAAACTCTACAAACTGGGAGTCATCAGTGGAGAGGGAAAAGCCCAACAGAGGGATCTTGCTGTCAGGTCCCTAGAGGCCAGTTCTTGGGGGAACCCTGCATGCAGGCCTGGGACTCCCCAGCTGACCACACAGCCAGGCCTGCCCTTGCCTTGCCTGGCTCCAGACTGACTCCAAAAATGGCTTCTCCCCTTTCCTGAGCTCCCTGGGAAGGGCCTCTCTGAGTCTGCCTTGGCTCCCCCTCCCTGCCAGGGACAGTGCCCCTCCAGGAGCTGCCAGCAGGCAGAGCC